TCTATCTATCTATCTATCTATCTATCTATCTATCTATCTATCTATCTATCTATCTATCTATAATCATCATCTATCTATTATCTATCTATCCATCCATCCATCTATCCATTTCTCCATCTCAGAATGAATTTGCCATTATGGTCAACATTCTATCTCAAGTGTAAGGTGCGTAAGATTTAAAATATGTTGTAGTTAAATGTGTGATTCGGTAGCATGTGTTTAATAGCATCTCTGCTTGACCATACTAAGTGAAGTATGTGAAATTCTCTGAGGATCTACTATCTGAGTCTCATGCTGCCTAGGTTGGCCTTGAACATCTGATCCTTCTGGTTCCATTTCCCAAGTGCTGGTATTGTCAGCTTGTGCCACCATACCTGCCTCCCTCTCTCTGTCTTAAGGAATGAATAGATTTATTTCAGATATCTTTTCTCTTCCTTGCATTAACAATGACTGTTAGTGACTTGTGGCTTACCAATTTCATGGTTGGTTTCCAGATTAAAGATGGATCACTACCTCTCCTACCTACTTCCTGGCCTTTCAGTCTTCTAAAAGGATTCAGATAAGTTAGCAAGGGTCACCTACTTAGCATTTCAGTACAGTACTGGCTGACCACTAACCCTATCAAAAATATATTTAGTGGGACACATAGGGCAGTCAAGGTGGCTCTGCTACACTGTAAAATCCTTTTCTCCCAGTCCCCACGATGTGCTTTTCTTATCTTCCTTTGTGAGAAGTAACATAATCCGTAGCCACCAGGGACAGCCACAGGACCGGAATGGATTATCATGGGACTGAAAAAAGACCAGGGGATCCTGCAGTTTTTTCTTTACTCTTATTTCTTTATCCACACATGAGTGCCAAAAGCACAGGCAGCTCTGCTTATATACACATGTTCATTAGAGCTACAGCAGGATATTTATAGCACATTGACTAACAATGAAGAGACTAGAATATAGTAGTTCAGTAAACATGAGCAAGGTAAGAGTACCACCATAGTATGCCTTGAGAGATCCAAGTGTCTCCTGAAAAACTAGGGGAGTACCAGCCTTCTGCAGATAACTCCCCAGCAAGTGTCCTTGCAGAAGCTTTCTCATGAGACAAGGCTTTTGAGGCATACATCTCAAGGTTCAGCTAAACTTACCAAGCATATTTTTAAAGCCATAGGAACGTTATTTCACAGTCCCTTCAATAATCTTTTCCCAGTGATGCAAGCTACAAGCCCATGACTTATTCTCACTATTTTTCAGTTAATTATGCATCTCTTCTTATTAAATGTATTTCTCAGATAAGAATTGTCACCTACACATGTAGTGACTTCATTTATGACACTGTCATTTTGCACCTGAAGTAATGTGCTATGCCAGCACCCTGCCCCCCTCCCCGCAGGTATTCCTTGGAGTGATATTCCCCAAATGTTTCTCATATTCTCTTTCATAGTTTATGCCAGTGACTTTCCATTGCTTGCAATTTGAAATTTTCATTGTCCTTAGACATCGCACAAAATGTTCTTCCTGATTGGGCATAGTGCTGATCACGTCTGCTTTGTAGGCTTTCTCTTTGCCCAAGCTATGCTAGAGTACAGAGGTTTTCCAGTTACTCCAAGTTCATTTTTAATCACCTTTTCCGTCTTGCTGAGTCCTTTGCCTGGCTAATCTTTCTTGGCTTTGTCTGACTTGACTTTCCCTGTGGCCCACCTACCTTCCCCTTTGTGTGTCTTAGTTACTTGCTGATCATGGAATTGTCATTTTTTGCTCCTTAATTGGATATGAAGTCACTGAAGGAAGAAAGTCTTTCTCAGCCACCCTCTTTGCACTGTATGTCTATAGTTGTTACCATGGTAGGCTGATGGATGTGTGAATGAAGCTTATCACTTTCTAATCTTAATGTTAAATGTAAATTTTAACTACATTTTATCATAGAGCACTGAGATAAAATGTACCTTAGAAATTTTTTCAAAAATCTTTCTGGAGAAGTATAAATGAGATGAAAAAATGAGCTCGTCAGTACTCTAAGTTTGTTAAGCATATTTTCTTTGCTAGAAATAAGAGTTTTAAAAGTATTCTTTTTTTATTTTTTTAACTGCTTCAGATCATTGGTTTGAAGTCATGGGTAAGAACTCCTTCAATTTTTCAAGTAATTACTTTCAGAGTTTGACAAAATCTACTAAAACTATGAAATGTTTTCTATTAAATTAGCAGAAAATTAGATCTTGAAACTCATAGTAACATTACAGAGGCTATTTGCTAACCAAGTCATTTTGCTAGGAATAGTACATTTGTATGATAGAGCAGTAAATGAACCCTCTAGAAATGGGTGCTGGGGGCATACAGTAGTGTTCCACAAGGCAAGTGTGGTAGGAGAGGTCTGGGAGGAAGAATGAGTTTTTTACCCTAAAGCTATGATGAAGCTGTTCTAAGGTTTCTTCAGTGTTTCCAGGATGTAGCCATTCTAAACCTCGTTGGTGATGAAAGGCTGTTTCCTACTAGGGGATAGTGCCCTCCATGCCCTTTCCTCCTGATCCCTCACCCAGGTAACCTGTGTGTTCTTTTTAGACACAGACCTGTTCTACGTTTGCTTTTCACACTTTGATGTTCTCTTATCACTATATACAGAATTAGGTTATGATTTTCAATCATGTGAAAATTTAAGATAAATTGGCTTACTGTTTAGGCTTACTCTAGATAGTGATGGTTGCTGGGGAAATTCAAAATTTTGCATTTAAGTGATACATATTTTTATGTGTGCAGTTGGCCTCGTCTACTACTACTTTATTAGTGAAAGACATTCAATTATAAATCCAGTTTGCAGTTCCTTAAATCTTAATTGACAGCCTATTGAAGACATTCCTTTTTGTAACAGTATATATGTCTCCATTTAAAAGAAACTAATCTCTCAAAACGGACCTTATTATATTGATAATTGTTTCAGTATCATATATATATATGTGTGTATATGTATATAGATAGATAGATAGATAGATAGATAGATAGATAGATAGATCTTTTTGAGACAGGGTCTCCCTGTAGCCCCAGCTGTCCTGGAAATCACTATGTAGACCAGGCTCACCTTGAACTCACAGAGATCAGCCTGCCCCTGCCTCCCGAGTGCTGGGATTAAAGGCGTGCACCACCACGTCTGGCTATTTCAGTATTTTAATGACTATCTCATTCATCTTTTATAAGGTTTTTATGGGTTATTCAACCAAAAACTACGTCAAGTTCAGAAATTACTTGACGTTGTTCTTTAAAAATCTCAAAAGAATAGTGCAAATAGTAGAGGCCAGTGGTCTACATTTTTTTCTGTGTGTTATATAGCAAATAGGTCTGTTCATGTTACTGTGGTTAAATTTGATTATCTAGTTTTAGTTTCTAGTCATTTATCAATGTGAGTTGTGGTCGGGATAGAAACTGCACCATTGTGCCCTTCTGTGGTTAATATATTTATGTTCTGCAGAGACACAAAATCTAATTTTGTAATTGATTCACAATTTTTGAGAATTTGTTTTTATTTAAATGACAATTGCCTTTATTTTTAAAGGATTACTTTTTTTCCCCTAACTAGAGCCGAGTGTGCCCATTCCTTATAGATCCATCTTCCCAAGCAACAAAATGGTTAAAGACGCATCTGAAGGACTCGCGTTTGGAAGTCATAAATCAACAGGTACACTTTAGCCCTCATGTGGATCCCAATGTAGGTGGCGGGCCATCCTGAAAACAGGTCTGGGCCTGTAATCAGAAGCACGGGAAAAGTGAGCTCCCTGTGGCTGTCCTGCTGTGGGATCTGAGGGAGGAAAGGTAATTCTGATTACCTTTTTGTGGTTTCTAAAAGGGGGCCAGAGCATTTATTTAGTGCTGGGTGTCTTCATGTAAGCCCTTTGTGTAAGCGGTGAGTGGTCATGCTCCTTCTCTAGGAAGAAGAGGTTAGAGACCAACATGAACACTATGATATGGATGGCAGATGCAGCTGCTGTGGAAGGAAGGCAGCTGGCCTCCAGGAGAAGAGCAGCTCCTGGTCTTACAGCTATTTACATTTTCTATGAAACATCTCTCAGTATTTCCTGTCCCTATAGCAACTATAAGCAGTTTTAATGTGTCCAAAGACTTGACATTTTAGACAGTGAAATGTAATTAATACTGCATTTGGTACAGACTGCACTGTCAAATTTATCTTATTGAGGAAATACTATTTTTTAGATCAAATTTGAGGAAGTTTTTTTTTTTTTTCTTGGTAAAAAAATTAACACTTGATTAATTTTATAGGTATTTGAGAATTTTACCTTTAAAATTTACTTTCTTTGTAGAGGTTTCTCATTTGTTTGTGGTAAGAATAATTGAAAATTAGATAATGCATAACATATAGCCATGTGCTATAGAAGAAGTGGGATATGTCGTGAGAAGTTGTTCTGGGTAGTTTTGTTGCATGAGCATCCAAGTACTTACGCAAACCCTGCTGGTGTAGCCTGCGTATAGTGGCTGTGTGTGCAGCCTGCTGCTCTCAGTCTGCAGTGGCTCTGCAGCCTGTTACTACACTGAACGCTATGGGCAGTGATAACACACTTGTGTACAATGTGTATTTAAACCATCAAAACATAGAAAAGTTACATAAGAAACCAAAATGATTAAACATAAATACCAAACGTTGATGTATCTTGGCCCTGTGAGTAGAACCGGCAGGCATCGAAGGTGCTCTGGGCAAAGCCATGAGAGAGTGCTTGGGTGTGACAGTCCAGGACATTTTCAGACAGAACTGGAAATTAATAAACACTGTGCAGTAAATTCATAAATTAATCTTACCTTACTATAACGTTTTACCTTCTAAGCTCTTAAGTTTTTTAACTTTCTGATTCTTTTGCTGTAATATTTTACTTAAAATGCAAAAACTTTGTACAGCTGTACAAAGCATTTTCTTTCCTCATAGCTTTCTGAACTTGAAAAATCACCTTGTAGGAGCTGGTGAGATGGCTGAGTGGGTAAGACACCAGCCTCTAAGACTGAAAACCTGGGTTCCATCCCTGAGACCCACATGTTAGAGGAAAGAACTGAATCCTACAAGTTGTCCTCTCATCACCACAATATGTAAATAAATCAATGTAAAACAGAATACCTCATGAACATCTGTTGTTAAAGGCTAAGACACAGGCACACATCTTAGCCCAGGCATGGAAAAGGTCAGGATCATCCTACTAAGATCTTCAGGGCTGATAACCCACAGGTCCCTCTCATCTTTGATGACAACAATGCCTTCTGGAACACTTCCTGAAGGACCCATGAAAGCTACTTTACAGTTCACTTTGTTAAATAAGTAGAAGGAATACATTCTAAAAATAATGGTAATGCAGCAATAAATCTCTAAATCAGAAGTGCACTCAGGCATCTTGGCCTGTGTGCTGTGTTTGTGGGCAGCTGATGGTTGGGTAGGCTTGTTTGCCCCAGTGTCACCACAACACGTGTGAGTGATAGATGCTATGATACCCATGGTGTCACTGGTCAGTGGGGATTTTTAGTTCCATGATGATCTGGGGTCACCGCTGTATGTCTCTTGTTGAATGAATTGCTGTTGTGCAGCATGTAATTCTATTTTAGCTTCATTTATGAAATACTCCATTTGTATTCGTCTCACTTGGAGACCTGGGATGCTTAAAACCACTCTTTCATTAGATAAAAAGCCTAAAAATTCTCGATTACAGAATTTTAACTAATATTCTTTTCACAACTATTAACCCTTTCACACTAACAAAAACTGTACAGGACTTGGTGATCTTGCCTTTTTCCATTTGGACCACAGCAGACTAGTCCTTACTAATACCCATCATTTACCGTAGGTAGAGCTTGGAAACTTGTTTTTGCAACAGTGTGTAATTATAGTAGAAACTTAAAGGACAACTTTTGTAGTATGGTGGGGACGAAGACTCGCTGTTCAAAGGAGAGAGTGCCTGGTCTGCAAGATGAAGAAGATCTGGAGATTTGCTGTCCAAGTTGTCTTTGCTTAACAGTATGCATTGGACACTTACTCCTGAGTGAAGATGGCAGAGCTTATGTTATTGGAATTTTAAATCACAATAAAATGTTTAAAAATCCTTATTTTTCTCATAAGTGTGTTCAAATTACGAATATTTTAACAATTTATTCAACTAAGATAATTTATTACTAAGTATTTTATAATTGGAAAGCCATGATGAGTGATTTGAGTTGCTACTCTACATATTAAACTTATAACATTGTTTCTGTAGTTCCTTCATTATCTCTATAGGGACCTTCGTGAGCGCTGAGATGAGGAACTGATGTGCACTCTTTTATTCTCAGGATAGTAACTTCATCACAGCTCTGGAGTTGGCAGTGCGTTTTGGGAAAACACTCATCATACAAGAGATGGATGGTGTAGAGCCTGTGCTTTATCCACTACTGAGACGAGACCTGGTAGCTCAAGGTAATACTTGCTTTTCTAGAAAGTACCTATTAAACAGTTTTCAAAGAGCCAAGGGAAGAGGTGCATGGCATATGGAAATAGGGTCTTACAGGTTCTGGGACCTTACTAACATGAACCTGCAGCAACAGTGTCAGCATGCACAAGACCCATGCAAACTCAGACAAAAACCCAGGATAGAACTGGGGAAATGGGCAGTAGACCCAACCTTAGCTAAAGAACTATTGGCAGCTGATTACTGCTGAGTGAGGAAGAGCCGATCTTTAAAGGAGATTCTAGATAGGCTGATTAGACCCCAATGGAGGAACTTGAACTGAGGGACCTCTGGGTGCACTAACTGACTTATATGACAGAATGCATGAAATTCAGTGGGGAGGGCTACAGGAGGGTGTTGACGGGAGGAGGGGCTGTAAAGATGATTAAGATATTTTGTATGAAATACACAAAAATTCAATTATAAAATAACCAAAAAAAGTTTGCAAAGAAAGTAAACCATGCATAAACTTAAGAGTTTTCTTCGTTAGAGATGTTAAGACTGCTCAGTTCTCCAGGGACCGAGCACTGACAGCAAACAAGCAGTGGCAAAGCACACAGTGCAGAGTGCTTATCTGTTACCCTCACATGGTGATGGCATGTGAAATGTCTGTCGGGCGCACTGGGGCTGGAGAGAAGGCTCAGCAGTTAAAAATGCAGACTCATCTTGCAGAAGACCCAGGTTCGATTCCCAGCACCACATGGCAGCTAATAACTGTCCACAATTCCAGTTTCAGGGGATCGACGATGCTCTCTTTGGATTTCTCTGGGCTTTGCATGACACTAGTGCACTTACACATGCAGGCAGGCAATATACTCATACACATAAAATTAAAAAATTAAAAAGAAATGTCTGTCAGGGAAGCTCATTAGAGACTTAGGAGAGCTTTTACTATCTTCCTAACTTATAGAAAAATTCCATAATGGGATGCAGGGTTAATATACACACGATACTGTAAGCAAGTTAAGCATTTGGCAGCTCTATCAGTTTTGCACATGACTTCTATAAAAGGCACATCCCAGATACTGGTTATGGGCCAGTTTGGCAAGCAGGCCACCCTAAAGATAGCATCTCAAGAATGGGGAGACACTGCTTCCTCATAGGCACCCAAGTCAGATATTTCCCTCTGTGTATGTATGTATGCATGTGCACCTATGTATGGTGTGTGAGTGTGCATCTCTGTGCATGTATGCATGCAGGTTCATGTATAGGCCAAAAATCAACATCGGGTGTCATCCTCAATCTCCAGTTTGTTTTCCTTTTTCTTTTCAGATTGAATTTTTGCAAATTTCATACACTATATTTTGACTGTATTTGGAGTCCCTCTCCCATCTGTACCTCCTTTATTAATTCCTCACCAAATTGCCTGCACCTAATATATATTAAGGCCTTTAGAGTCAGCTTTGTGTCAGCAAATGCCCTTCTGTGTGGGTTCCTTCAGTGGAGTCTGGACAGCTTACCAAGAGCCTCACCCTTAAAAGAGGTTGACTCTCCCCTCCCTACTCCATCAGCTGCCAGCAGTTTCTCAGGTTGGGTTGGGCTTTCTTCCCTATTTCCCTATGTCTGTGCTGGGATTTTGTGTGGTTGAGCTTACATGGTACCTGTTTATGCTGTAACCATTGCTGTGAGTTCATATGAGTAACTGCCAAGCAATCTGGAAAACTGTTTTCTGTGTTCATCTACCTCTTCTGTCTGACTCTTACTATCTTTCCACCCTCTCTTCTACAATGATCTCTGAAGCCTTGGGAGGCAGAATGTTCTATTCATGGATAAGCAGTCTGCAGCCTCTTATTCTCAACATGTTGGCCAGTTGCATTTCTCTGTGTTGTTCACTGTCTGCTGCATTAGAAACCTTCTTTTCTGAGAGTTCCTATAGGTATAACAGTAAGTCATTAGAAATCAGTTTAATACTATATCTATTTAGCAGAATAATTATATTTCACTTTGCTTTTTTAAGACTTGGTCTCTTTCTGCACCCAGAGCTCATTCTTTCAGAGCAGCTCCAGGGGTCTGCCTCCTCTGCCTATCTTGCTTCCCAGTGCTGGGATTACAGGCATGTGCCTGGCTTATTATGTGGCTGATGGAGAGTCTTACACATGCCTACCTGGTAAACACTTTACTGACTGAGTCTGTTTCCTAATACATATTTCTAAAGTTGGAATGTGATGCTCTGAAACTTTAAGATATGTTTGCAAAAAGTATATTCACATATTTTGCACACATGTATATGTACACAGACGCATACCACACACATCATAACACTAGAACATTTAAATGGAAAATTGAGGCTATTGGGGAAAAGCAGAGAAATATTAGAGCACGAGCTATTCTTAGATCTTCTGTTATTTTGTAAGTAGGTATGCTTGATCTAGCAGTGGATGATACGTTATGAAAATAGTTCTGTCCTTTCAATGCATCTTTGGGGATGAAGGGCAGAGTATATCTAGGCTATTGTGCAACAGCAAATGCTTTCTGCTCAGGAACGTGACCTTGTTAAAAAGACATTCCAGTAGAGCTCTCTCTGGTCCACTTGTCTGTTGTAACAAACTTGGGTCATTGAGCCAATTTCTGTCTGTGCTCTCTGAAAACGGATAGGAATGGACCTTTGTGGCCATCTGACTTTAATACTCTTCATTCTTGGGGTTGGAGAGGTGATTCAGTGGTAAAGAGTACTAGCTGCTCTTGCAGAGGACCTAAGTTCAATTTCAAGCACCCAGATGGTGGCTAACAACTGTCCATAACTCCAGTTCCAGGGAAATCCAACACCCTCTTCTGACTCCACAGGCATTGCATGACAAGGGTGCACTTATACACATGCAGGCAAGACACTCATACACATAAAATTAAAAAAAAACCAAACAACTATTTGTTCTGTACCCCTAATTCTCAAGAGACATTTCGGTGTCAGAGTCACATGAACCTGTGTCCTCCACTGAGGTCCCACTTTGTAGTTTCACCACCTCCCAATTGTCTGCTCACAGTTTTAATCCATCTTTGGAGTTTTAATCCATCTTTGGATACTCCATTGATTACATCAGAACCCTCATGATCTGGTCATTCCTGGAAATCCCATCATAGATACAGAGGTTCACTCTTTCTGAGTCTCTCACTCAATCAAGTCAACAGCTAAGATTGACCAGCACACCACTGATAACATAGCATCTACTTTTCTGCTCATTTTTAAAGTAAGTTTTATTGTGTGTATTTAAATATGGTTAATATGTTTGATATTCTAAGATATAGGTAGTCAAAAGGTTGCTATAATGAAGCAGGTTAGCCTATCTATCCTTATATATAGTCAACCCCTAGTTCATGTGTCAAGAACAGCTAAACTATTAAAAAATCAAAATATGACACAGTCTGATTAATTACATGACTCGTATTCTGCATTAACTTTCTAGATTTATTTATCTTACTGGAGATGAGATGATGCAATAATTTTCATGTTTTGTCCAGCTTATTTTACTTTATTTATATATTTTAAATAAATATGTAAATTTACTATACATATTACCCTCTAGGCTCATTCATGTTTTTGCAAATGGTAGAATTTCATGGTGACCCAATAATACTTCATCATATGTTTATATACTATGTTTTCTTTATATTTTTCTGTTGATGGACTCTTAGATGTTTCAGTATCTTAGCCATAGTGAATGAACTTAGGGTGCAGAAAACCTAAGAGATGGGGTTTGTGCATCAGCTTTTTGTTACTGGACAAAATGCCTGAGATGATAAATTTAAACAAGTTTTATTTGGTTCACAGTGTCAGAGGTTTTAGTTTAAGACTGCTTGGCTCAATTTTTTTAAGTTTGTGAAAAAAATAGCATTATGGAGCAGAGGCCTGGTGAAGGAAAGCTGCCTTCTTTATCCTGAAACAGGAAAAAAAGCGTGAAACAGGGTGTGTGCGTGCGTACATAGTGTGACGTCCAGGTAAAACGCACCCATCAGAGTGTTTCACCAGTGACCTACTTCCTCAGCCCTTTAATTTCTGCATCCACAAGCTATCAAACCATGAGTGCATCCACACATGAATCTACTGACTAGATCAGAACCTTAAAGAAATTTTTTATTTATTATTTTTATGTGTATGTGTGTATTGCCTACATGTAGGTAAGTGTACCTGTGTCGTGCAATGCCCACGGAGGACAGAAGAGTCTGTCAGATCCCCTGGAACTGGAGTTACTGACAGTTGTTAGCTGCCATGTGGGTGCTGGGAATCGAACCCAGGGCTTCTGCAAGAACAGCCAGTGTTCCTTGTGATTGCATCAGTTCCCTAAATCCCAGCAGCTGATAACCAACCTTTAAACATGTGAGCCTTTAGTAGACATTTCAGAGTCAAACCATAACATGGTGATTTTATTTGTGGGGGCATGTTTCTAGAAGATAGATTTCTAGTCATAGGAGAGTTCTAGTTTTAATTCCTGTAAGAACTTCATGTTTTCAATAATGGGATATCAGTCTTCATTTAGTTAGTTGGCTATTTTCTCTGTATACTCATCAACATTTGGTACATTGTCTTTTTGGTAATAACCATCATCACAAGTATGAAGCGATTGCAGTTTTCATTTCATTCCCTAAAGATTAGTGATGCTGAACGTATTTCATGCGTTTGTTGGACATTTTAATGTCTTCTTTGGAGAAATGTCTATCCAGGTCTTAATCTATTTTTAATTGTTATGAGCTGTCCTGATACTGATTAATAAGAATTCTATATACATTTTGGATGTGGCCTTTATTCAATAAATGATTTGCAAATATGCTTCCCAATCCGTATGCCATCATTTCATTTTGTATATAATAGATGTTGTGGCCCGAATTCTCTCTGGGTCTCCTGTGGGATCAGACAAAGCATATATTTTATGTGTATTTATTAACTTACAAAGGAATGAGTACCCAGTGCCTAGTCCTGGGCTGCCAGGACTCAGAGCCCACCTTATCAGACTGCGCCATGCCCATAGTTGCATTTGCTCCCGTCTCCAGGGCCAGCAGTCTTGCCCCGGGTCCATAGGAGTCAGCTCATTCTTTGAGTTGCTGTGCTAGCTGCGAGTTGTTTCCTACATCACACACTCTACTGGTGGCTCCAGGCTTCCATCCCAAGATGGCCCCTGGCTTCCTTTCCTAGTTCCTGCTCCGTGTGAGGCCCCGCCCATTGGACGAACCAGCCAATCAGGAGACAGATGTCTTATAGTCCTAGGCTTTTATATTAGGTATTATATCGTAAACATTGGTGTAATAAATACTTTTTAACTGATAGGTTTAGAAATAGAGAATAATACATGATGGAGAGTGTACATTTGATATCTATAATCAACTATTTTAGAAAACTTTGGAACATGAAACATGTAGTTAATTAAAATCATACTCAGAGTGTAAGTAGATGTACTTCAGGATCATCTTAATGTTGTTTGACCTTATGTAACCACTTCATAAGGGCACATTTCATAGTTTCTTGCGTAGTCCAGCTTTTGATGTTCTTTTGGACTGTGTTAAAAAACCTGTATCTCTGGAGTCAGAACCAGCTAAGTGCCTGCTGCCAGCTGCAAGAACGCAAGGGGATCATGAGGGCGCCAGAGATAGGCAGCACATATTGGATGTGTGGTTAAATGATTGTGAAGACAGTGATTACTTTTAGTAAAAGGTAGCTTTTGTAGTTAATGGATTTTTCACGATTAAAGAAAATTCACTGTCATATTACAAAAAAAAAAACCTACATGTAAAAGGCTTGAAAATGTATATTTTTTTAAACTTATGTAGCAAAATAGAATTTTTACTAATTGGGTGTATATCCTTTTTAATAGGACCACGTTACGTGGTACAAATAGGTGATAAAATTATTGACTACAATGAAGATTTCCGTCTTTTTTTATCAACAAGAAACCCAAATCCCTTCATTCCACCTGATGCAGCATCCATCGTGACCGAGGTGAACTTTACCACAACAAGAAGTGGACTACGAGGGCAGGTGTGTCAAGACAGCCTTCACTTGCCTTATAGTCTGTTACAGTTTTAAATACAAAGCATTTTGGCATAAATATTTTCTTTTAAACCGATTAGTGTTTGAATGTGTGATTTTGGAAATATACGTGTGTGAATTTAGAAATGAACTTTTTATTTCGATACTTTACCTATTTTTAGTTTTTTCCTGTCTCGAGAAATGTTTGTTGACTTTGAGAATTACCATTTTTTTTCACCCATTTAACAAAGTACATATTTGCCTCCTTGGCTCTCTGTGACAGCCTGTAGACTTGAGTAATTTTTACTTTGTTGTAATTTTTAAGCTATTGCTTCAACATACTCTTATTCTACCATGAGGCTTATTTGTTTATGAATGATATCTTTTGACTTGATAATTCTTGTGAATCAAAACTTTAACAGCTGGGGCTGGAGAGATGGCTCAGCGGTTAAGAGCACTGACTGCTCTTGCAGAGGACCCGGGTTCGATTCCCAGCACCCACATGGTGGCTACGAACTGTCCTTAACTCCAGTTCCAGGGGAATCTGAAGCCCTCTTCTGACCTCCGCAGCATTGCAAGACACAGGTGCACTCACATACATGTAGGCAATACACTCAGACACATAAAATAAAAATAATAAAGTTTAAAACAAACCAACTTTAACTACTACCAGAATTAAAATTGCCAGAATTAATTTACAAAATAGCTTCTTTCATCTAAAAGCACTCCCTAGTAATTGCTGAGGGAGTGATTCAGGTTTTATTTAGCAAGAACTGAGGGACAGTGTTTATATATGAGTTTGAATTGTATATCTTATACCAGTTGCATTCCCTATGTTTATGTTCCAAGTTGATGATTTGTCAGAGCAGTTGTAATAGCATAACAGAGTAAAGCTTTGTCGGATGTAATCTACACACTATGTAATATCAGTTCCAAGTGTGTCGTCTAGTGGTTTCCTAATGGAATTGCTTGTAACTTTAACAATTTGAAGGACAAACTTTTCCAACATGGCCATGCTATTTCACTTTCCTAACAAATCTCATTACTATTTATCTTTAAACAATTACTGATACTATTTTTATTTGCATTTAATTTTAAATTTATATACATTTAAAGTTAGCATGCACAGTAGCAGATATTATTATGTCATTTCCCCAATTTTATAGATTACGTGCTGCCAAACAAGCAACTCGTGGCATTTTTGAACAAAATCTGCTTTATGATTTGTCTTTTTAATTGAAGTTTTTTTAGTGGGTACAAAATGTTATCTTATTGTAGTTTTAATAATGTAACATTTAAATTTTTTTACATTTATTTTGGGGGTTGTACCTGTGTGTGTGTGTGTGTGTGTGTGTGTGTGTGTGTGTGTGTGTGTGTGTGTGTGTGCACATGTATATGGGCATGTCTGTGCCATGGAGGACGTGGTGGGGTCTGAGACCACTTGCCAGCACTGGTTCTTTCCTTCCACCATGTGCACTCTAGGGGTGGAACTCCGGTCCTCAGGCTTGGTGGCAGGTGTCTTTGCCACTGAGCCATCTCACCGATCCTTATGGTATTACATTTTAATTAAATATTTATCAGTAGCTAATACTAGTTCCATAGTGTTTATGTATTTAATGTAACTTAATGTGTCTCCTGCTTAATTAAAAAGAATCAAATGATGTAACGATTATAATGCTTCTAATAGTTGCTCATTTCCAAGCTCATGGGAAGTTGTTTTCTTTTAAAGCTCATTGCTAGAATTACTTTATTTATTTATTTATTTATTTATTTATTTATTTAATTTTTAAGCTTTTGGCTTTAACCATTCAACACGAAAAACCTGATCTAGAAGAACAGAAAACAAAACTATTACACCAGGAAGAAGAGAAGAAAATCCAACTAGCCAAACTTGAGGAGTCGCTTTTAGAGGTGAAACTGGGCCACTCCAGATGTGTTTCTCACTGCTTTCTTCTTCAAGTATAAATGACAGGTGTCCTTTAACAGTCAGTCGTACCTTTAGGATGTTTTTGATTATTTCAAAGGCATGTTCATATCTTAGAGTAAAATTCAAATAAAAACAAGGGGGGCTATCTTTTAGAAGAAAGCTCTTAAGGAGTTAAACTTAAGATAAATTATACTGAATTAATCATTTCTTTTTTCTGCATTGTTTATTATATACTCCAAATTTCCCAAGGCATTAAAGGTTATGACTGAACTGATAAACTGATTGACTTTTTATTAGACTGATAAATGTAATTCAGATGTAAAGCCTACATATTGATACATACAATAATGCAGTCACTTGGTGCAGGGAGGCCGAAATGCTGACATTCCTTTAAAATTAATTAAAATGTCATCAAATTAGTGATGATTAATATGGATTTCCTTTAATTGGTAATTTAAATATGTATTATAATTATTTTCTCAATTTCTCCTACAGACACTTGCCACATCCCAAGGCAATATTTTAGAAAATAAGGATTTGATTGAATCTTTGAATCAGACCAAAGCAAGCAGTGCCCTTATTCAAGACTCTCTTAAAGAATCTCACAAACTCCAGATTTCCCTTGATCAGGTAATTATTTCCTTTGTTGTGAATTTGTGTTTGGCTTTCTTATACATGTGCATTAATTTGATAGAACATGTATAGTCAGGCCTTCAGAGGAAAGATTATGTAAAAAATGGAAGCCATTCAAAAATTCCAGTGCCTGGGATCTGATTCCAGTTATTATAGAGAGGCAGTTAACATGTTGCTCACACCCGATAAATTCAATATATGCCACATTGTTGTTTAAGATAGAGATGTGTTTTAAAGTGAAATTGAAGATGAATATTTTGTAAAGGAATATGAGAGAACATCTTTACCATTTATGTTAGTCAGTGTTCTATTACTTTAATAAATACCCAAAATAAGCTATATTTTTTAAAAGGTTCCTTTTGGCTCACAGTTTTGGGTATTGCAGCTCAAGGTTAGTTTGTTCATTGCTTTGGGGCCTATGACGTGGCAGCACATCATGGTAGGATGATTTGGTGAGACTCTTCACCTTGTATGTATGACACACCATACCCTCATAGTCCCTTTTGAAGGCACTCCTTCAGGGAACCAAGGCCTAACCTGAGGATTACGTCTTACAGGTTCCTTCACCACCTCACAGTACCATGGGCTAGAGCCATGCCCTTAACACACAGACTTTCAAGGGCTATCACAAATCTAGATATCTGAATTATAACACTATTCTTGGAGCTTTTTTTTTTCCTTTTTTGTTTATTGTTGTTTTTTTTGTTTTGTTTTTTGAGACAGGATCTTCCTGTAGCCTTAGTTGACCTGTAACTCATTACATAGAACAGGCTGGCCTCAATGCTGTGACTTTGCAAGGTGATTGGGTCATGAGAGTGAAACTCCTGAGTTATGAGGAATTCGAATGCTTTATTAAGAAGAGCCGGGGGAATTTGTTTGCACAAAATATATCTGGTATCAGATCTGGGATCTGATTCCAGTTATTATAGAGAGAACTGTAGAACTCACCAGAGTGGACAGATCAGTAGAATTTAATCATTCAGTGTGGGCAACATCTTAACTACCTCTCTGTAATAACTGGAATCAGATCCCAGACACAGGTATTTTTGAATGGCAGCAAGAATCAACCGTTTCTAGAAACCAAGAAATGAACCTTCACTAGACACCAAGTTTGCTGCCATGTTGGACTTCTGAACCTCCAAAACTGGGAGAAATGGAGCCCATTTAATACATATTTTCATAGTAGCCCAAATGGACTAAGGCATAAGGTTGTCTTACAAAACTTAACTATGTAAAAATAAAGATGCTGTTCCTTTTAACTATTATTTTTATTTTTTGTATTCATATAGAAAGCTAAATTTGGGGCTGGATGTGTGTAGGATAGTCTGTAGTTGGCTACCACACAGACCTGTAAGATTATCTGTGGGTTATTGTACAGCACTGGTGTGTAGGGTAGTCTGTGGTGGCTGTGGCACTGGTATTAAATCTGTACTCTGTCCCCCCCACTAATGATCCCCAGGAGCGGGATGCCTATCTCCCTCTGGCTGAGAGTGCCAGCAAGATGTACTTCATCATCTCTGACTTGTCCAAGATCAATAACATGTACCGCTTTAGCTTGGCTTCATTTCTGAGACTTTTCCAGCGAGCTCTACAGAACAAACAGGTAAGTTTGTTCTGGTACTCCATAGCTGAATTTAATATATCACTTTACTTACGTGTTTGATTTATAATGATAATTTCCTGAGCAAATGTTTATTATTGACATTATGATTCAGAGGACCACAAGTAATATGTTTAAATTATATTTAAAAGAAACTATTTCCTTAATTTCATTTTATAGTCTTGACAAACTGTTAGCTTTGAGAGGGAATAATTTATAAGAATAGTTTAATAAATAATATATGATCACTTGAACAAAAGCCAATAATTCATAAAGGTGTCAAGATAAATTTACTTACATAATCCCATCACCTGGGCAGACTGAAAATGCGAAGTGTTCTGGTGGAGGGAGGCATGTGTTATCTTAATGGAGAAATTTGGTCAGAACACAGCAAGCTGGCTTCTCTCTGTTCCACAGCTAAGCTTGAGGGGATGGTGCAGGGACATGCTCTTCATTTGCCCATTGGTGCCTTGGGAGAGAGGGCTTGATGGTGTGGGTCCTTGACCATAGCACTGCCCCAGCAGGGTTGCCCAGCTCACGGCACAGAGCAGACAGCCATCTTATGTGATGCCTGGGGGCACCAGATGATGTATTCCAGTGAATAAGGCTGGAGCAGTAGTTCTCTTTCTTTTCATCGTTGTCCTGTGAGGTAATTACAAATATTTCATTGCTTTGACAAATCACTGAGCACTTGTAAATTGTCACTTGTAAGTATTATTTAACATTCGTATTTTTTCCTTTGGTTACCAGATTTTTTATATCTTTTCTTTTTCTTTTATGTTATTAATATTTTTAAGAGTCCAGAGAAATTCTTATATATTAAGGACCTTAAGATTTTACAAAATGTTATAACTATTTTGACTTTATTTTCTGCCTTTTTACTTTATTTAAAATGATTCTATAAAAGTAATATCAAAATTATTATTTATTGTTTTTGCACTTGATATAGCACTAATATGTTTTTAAAAATTAGTTTTGGAAGAGAAAATTTTAAGTAAATTTGAGAATAGGTAGATTTATGTATTTCTGCTTTTTTTTTTTTTTAGAAATTAACTTTTCTTTATGTGTATGAGTGTTTTTCTTCATGTATATAATTGCACCACTTGTGTGCCTGATGCCTGTGGATGTCAGAAAAGGGCATTACATGCCCTGGAACTGGAGTTAGGGAATGTTAGCCACCATGTGGGTGCTGGGAATTAAACCCAGGTCCTCTGCAAGAGCAACAAGTACTCTTAACTATTGATCCATCTCTATAGCCTCTACCTGCTTTTTCTGAGGAAAGAATTTTCTTTTCATCATATTTATAGCAGACTTACTATATCAGACATTTTTCTTGTTCCTTGGGGTACCAACAGAAAATAAGGAAAAATATCCTTATCATCATTGGTGTTGACTACTTACTATTTTCGTCAATTAATGTTTTCTAAATCCTTTATTTGATTATAAAGATGATATTTTTACTCATCTCTCTTCCATGTACGTACATTGTTTGATATTATTCATATATTCAAATTTGAAGTAAAGGATTATCTAGTGATGAGCTTGTACTTCTGGGATAGGTTTTGTTAGCAACAATATGTCTACTCAGTAATAGTAAAGAAGATAAACATCTATACAGTTGAAGGTACAGAAGGCTGTTGAGGGCCAGTTACATTTTAGACAATATGATGCGGATATGGCTATCTGAAGTGAGCCTAAAAGATGGCTAGCACCTTGTATCTGGGGATTCCATGGTAAGCAGTGATGTAATCTGCTATATAACCATTTCTGGCAAAATACCATTTTTGTGTGAGTTTTATATAATTATGCCTTTGAAGTCTGAGGTACGTGCTACTGTTTAGTGTCTTTGATTTTGCCTAGGGTGTGGTGTGCCTTAGCCTGCACGTGTCTACTGCTGTGTACAGCCTGTGTGCCAGTGAATAAAGTATATCGCATCTGCTTATGGCCCCTCACACAATGCTTTCCAGCCTGCTGGCCTCCCAAGCCTCCCTTCCTGACTTTGGGGCTCAGACCCCACAACCATATATAGTTCTGTTTAGACAAATACTAGATTCCATATGGTAGGGAATGTTGAATAGTTAATATTTGTGACCCAAAATTTTGTCAGCATTGAAAAATATGTTAAATCTAATCAAGCCAGATTATTAATAATACTGTGCTTATGGAAGCATTTTGCAAAACAATAAGCACAGGTACTTCTCCTTAGCAGTAGTTCTATGAGGCAACATGTTCATAGAATTGCTTTGACCCATGTGTGCACTTGTGTAGTTGTCTGCACATTTGAATTTATTGAGCAATATAATTTTATAAATGCGAAGTAAAACTCTCTGATGTCTAAGTGCTTTATAATAGGGTGTGTTTTGTGACTCTAATTCTTTTTTTAATCATATATTTAATAACCACATAATTAGAAGAAGCATTTCATGACAACAGCAATGACATATTCAATAACAATTTCCAGAGCTAAGATGCATCTCTTTCAAAATTGGCTGTAAATTTTTAGGTTTACAGTTGAATTAATACAGTTATACAATATTGTATTCAGTGTAAACCTTTTAAGACATAAAATTAAATGAGGTTTTAACCTTTAAAAAAGATCTCCATTTCATTATTAAAATAAACAGTTTCATACAGAAAAATTCATTTAATTAATTTTTTAATCATTTTTTAAATTTTTAATAGCTACATGATTAGAAGTGACTCTAATTCTTAATTTCATGTGTGCTGTTTCTTATTAAACTAAAAAAGGAGGGGCACTTGCTGTCTGACACTTGAATGATTAGCTCTTATAATAAGAGCATGCTACTGTTAAGGCCAGAAGCCTCAGTTTGATGCACCTGAATACAGGTTCTTAATGTTTTGTGCCAGTTTCATACATTCTGTTGGTAATCCTACCTATATTTTTCTGACACACTAAGGAGGATTTGCGAGGCCAGAAAGCCAAGATTTTTTCCTTAGTTACGAACAGAAAATTACAAGCAACTCTAATTATTATTAGAGTAGAACTTTGTAAGATAGATACTATTTAAATGATCCCTGAAGTGAGAGGTCAACTTTTTTTTCCCAAACCGTGGCAATTACATACAACAGAATTATTGTGTCAAGAAAACTAAAGATTTATGTGAATTTTATTATATCATTTTCAAGTTAATATTGTCTGTATCCAGCCTGGCACACTTGCTTGTTTAAGCTCTCATATTGAGGTAGGAAATAGATAAAATCCAGAGTGGATTGGTAATTAAAATTCAAGTGACTTAGCTAGCCTTATCTCATATTGAAATAGATTCTATTTTTAATGCTGTAGATGCCAAAGTAGGATGCTGAATTTGAACTCCGACCATTGGAAATTTTATTATTTATTACTATTGAAAAGTGATTGTAATATTCATTTATTAAAAGAGTTAACTATATGGGTCAGATGTGGTGTTGCACACCTTTAATCCCAGCACTTGGGAGGGCGGAGACGAGTGGATCTCTGTGAAATCAAGGCCAGCCTGGTCAACATAGTGAGTTCTAGGCCATCTGGGGCTACAGGGAAACCCTGTCTCAAAAATGACAAGAAAACATAAGATTTAATTTTATGTATACATTTAAGAAAATAAATAATTTAAAAATACTGCATTAGTATACAATTTAATATACTTATTTAGTTATTTTTTTATGGCTAAAGAGATTTATCCAAAAATTAGATTTGAGTCTGGAGAATCAATTTATGAAAATAATTCAATTATTAAATATGCTTAAATACTTATAAATTTCTTAATGGATTTTCAAATTCTAATCTGCAGGATTCTGAAAATACAGAACAGAGAATTCAGTGTCTTATCAACTCATTAAAGCATATGGTTTATGAATACATATGCCGATGTCTGTTTAAGGTAAGAAACATATTTTTCAAATGCAAAATGTTCTTCCCCATCATTCCACAGCATTGACAGTTGTACAGTGGTTTAGCTACTGGAAAGCTATTGACATTGGCTTTTCAGACTTTTTTCCTGGAATGCTGTTGGTTAGTAACTGGGATTTCTTAGAGCGTAGCAAATGCAGGAGGGAGACGTGGCAAGCAAGGAAGGGAGAGAGGCGGACACTGGGCCCACAGCCTTAGCTGAGCTGCCCAGTAGTTACTAAAGAGGAGGTTAACTGGGGATAATACACAGTTCCTGATCCAGCCAAGGTTCCTCATCCTCACTCTTGTGCCGTTTGGGGCCACATACCATATCCTTCTTTGTAGCTAGTGATCACTCTTTGTATGCTAGGGTGTTTTTCATCCCTGGCCTCTCCTAAATGATGACAGTAACATTCCGTTCTCTTTCCCCCATTTGTATAAACAAAAAATGTCTCTAGACATTGTCCGGTGTTCCCTGGATTATGTGATGAAATCGTTTTCCATTCCTGGCATTAGAAGGCAAACAAATGCCTGCTTCTGCATTACAAGAACAAAATTGTATAGATATATTATTTTTAGGAACGTTCAGGTAAATGGGCAATAGATTAACAACAAGACCTTTGAAAGAAAAATATAAATCCACACTTTGAAATAGAGTCAGTGCTTCAAAGTATGTTTCAGTACTCTGTCCAGAGTTGGTCCCCACTTTGGAGGGTTACGGGTGAGCATTTCTACAGAATTCCTGTTTTGAAATGTGGAACTATGTATTTATATTTTTCTTTCAAAGGCCTTATTGTTACCTATGATTATAAAACTTATCCTGTGGACTTCAGCCTTGACTTGTAGGAAGTATAAACAAATGACCTCAAAGCTATGCTGCCACCAGTGTGTTCAGGAGATGGAGGGAGGAGGGTGACCTTCGCAGTGCTAGATGTCTGTCCATTGCAGATCTTGGGATGTCTTTGACATTTGTATGGCGTATTGTGCCCAGAAATACCTCAGTTTTTTATTACATAAGCAAAACTTTAAAATGCTTTCTGAAGATTTGAAATTTCATACGGAACTACAGTAGAAAAACCACTAACAACTCTTCCCATTCTTCTTCCCATTCTCTTGTCCACGAATACTTAGAAATGATGGCTCAGCATTTGCTGTCATGTGCTCTGCTCCCCCTTTGTTGCAGTTAGTCTTAAGGATCTCTCCAGGAGTGCAGTGAGCTTCATTATTTTTAGTAGTTCTGTGGTATTCCATAATGTAGTTACACAGTTTGGCTACCCTTACCCAAAATGCTTTATAGATGCAATCTTTCATATTTCAAATTTGAAATTTCTTGATTTTGGAATATTCACATACACATGATGAAATATTTTTGAGTTGGTACCCAATTAAGTATGAAATTCACTTATGTTTCATATTTACAAATTACTGTCTCAAAATGATTTGTATACAGTATAGTTAGTGTATTTGCATTTTGATTCTGAATTACCACATGAAGTCAGGTGTGGAATTCAGCCCTGTGGAGTTATGTCAGGACTGAAAATGTTTTAGACTGGGGAGCATATTTTCAGGTTAAGGATCCTCAGTCTGAATACTACTCTACGGGTCACTCTGTTAGTGGGTATTAGGTCTCTTACACAGTTTTGGCTTCCATGAAGGACTGCAGTGAACACCTTGAACAGTACACTCCCCTTTGTGTGTTTACAGATATCGATTCTGCAGTGTTCTGGGTGGAAGTGTAATTTCTTGTCAAGGACCATACTCTCTAAATGTAGTGGAATATAGCTGATCACCTCCTGAAACTTGCTTATTTGATTTTGAACCACTTGACACTATGACCCACAAATAGTTGAAGATACCTTCTTTGCACGCTTATTGACTTGTGATATTACAAATCTTAACTTTCCAAGTGCTGGCTTATGAATGTTAGCCTAAGTGTTTTATATATCTTCTCTTTATTGATTTTAAAGTTTACTTTAACCTTCCTTCTTACCTTGTTGTATCTATCTATTTTCTTAGTATTTTAAAGAGTACACCTTCGCCTTATATACAATGTCTACTTTATTGCAATTATTGTTTCTATATTTTATTTTTGGTCATTGAACTTAATTATATTTTTATTTCTGTTCCTTGACCACTAAATTTGCATGAGTAGTTTTAAAATGTAGTTCATTTTTTTCTGGTGACTATGTTTTTGTTTCTATAAGTTTTAAATTATGTGTGTGTGGGCATGTACATGGTAATGTATGTGCTTGCAGAGGCCAGCAGCTTCAGATCCCCCTGCATCTGGAGTTGTGGTGGTTGTGAACTGCTATGTGGATGCTGGAAACAGAACTTGATACCTCTGCAAGAGTAGTAGGTGCTCAGAACCTTTGGACGTGTCTTCCCAGAGCCCTAGTGCATATCTTCAACTATGAAGCTTTTTAATCAACATCAGTAGAGATCTATCAAATGATCTTTTCTCCTTTTCTCTTTTCTTTTCTTTTCTTTTCTTTTCTTTTCTTTCAAGAAAGACCTCTACAGTAAAATATGCATGATTTATGAGAATGCAGTAGATCTGAGTTATGTTAAGCTGCTCCAAAATCTCTTTGGAAAGGGAATCTATTATAAATATTATTCTTAAAAATTGTTATAACTGTAGATAATAGAAACTCCATCTTACTCATTCTACAGATTATTAGCCTTTATTAGTTCCTTGCTCGCTTTTAACCTTTATATCTGTGTTTCAGTTTATCTGTTCTTATTTTTAATAATGCAACGTGTTCTTTATTGAGTAGTAACATTTTATTATGTACTTAGGGAAGGATCAGTATTTGCACCATCTTTAATCTGTCGGTGGAGTACACTGAGCCTTGCTTCTTTGCTCTTACTTTACCTTTTAAAAATACTTTTCAGTTGTACAAAGGCAGCTTTTTGTTATGTAGGAGGGAGGGTGAACGGTCACTTTCATTAATATTTCAATGCTTCATTGATGTTTTTATTGCATATCAAAAGTAGTTCTTTTCTATTCTGAACAACAGTTGGAGAAAATCATAGAAAAGTCTCTATGGCCTTCAATTCTCAAGACATGTTTTTAATTAATATGAAAATGTCTGTTTTGTAAAATTAATTTCTGTTTGAGCAACACAAGACCCATGCAACATGAATTCAGCATTTTGTAGCATTAAGTAATGGATAAGAATTTCGAGAGCACATTAGTCATAGAGCAGTGTGATGTACTTCTCAAGATTCAGCACTATAGCCTTATGGAGGATGGAAGCAATTTCATATTGTGGTGAAGGCTGTTTTGGGTTTTTAGCAGTCAGCATCACATTCATTTGCCTGTCAGTGTCATTCAGGTTGCTTTCTTGTCATGTTGGTGACAGTCATGTGGACACAGTGGACTCTTGACATAGAGACAGACTAGGATTATTAGTATGCAGGTCACATTGAACTGAATGCAAGTTGACCTGGAACAGAAATGATTGATTTGTTTTGTAGCATGTATTGTAGACTTTTAAATGAATAAACCGAGTGGAGAAAGCTGTCTAGCTATTTCAGTTTAGATTATTAACTATGCCATTCAGTTTTCTTCAAGAGATCAAATATTTTTTTTATTTCAGTTACATATTTATGACAAATGTAAGTTATGAATTTGGACCCCCAAACATACTGTAATATTATAAAACTATGTGTAAGTGTATTTTCTTTTTGCTTGTTTACTTCAGTCTGTCTTTTATAGTAGGTGTGAAATAACGGAAGCTGTGTTTGGATGTTTATTTCCAAACATGTTGAGCAGATGGAGAAAAGAGGGCTCCGGTGGAAGACTGCAGGGATCTTCTTTCTGTTCCTCTTCTTCATGGAGGAATTACTGTCTCAGAGAGATCTGAGATGCTACAGAAAGAATGGTAGATTAGAAAAAGAAAGCTTTTCATGCAAACTCCTTTCATATTTCCTGTGTAACACACCTTGCTCTCCTTTCCTAATGAATTTGCTCATTGAATAAAATTAGGTGGCTACATTTTTTAAACTGTTATCTAAAATGTCATGATTATATTTATTATACTAATAATTTTCATACATTCCCTTTTAAATATAGTTGTTCTCTAGATGAGTGTGTAGAAATTTTATACTCTGTGTCTACTTCAATTGGGTCTTGATAATTTAGATGATTTGGGAATGTCAGTGTTTATCTATGTATCCCTGCTGCCTTTTCCTCAAATTACAGTGACTGTGCAGACTTGCCCATTAAAAGGTATGACTTAGCTTCAGGCCCAAAGACAAGGGCTCCAGTTCTATGCTATTTCAACTTCTTTGACATGAAAGCAGGACTTTTCTTCACGTAGCATGTACTGTGTGCTTTTCACTGACTGCATCTGAAAGCAGCGAGCACCGTGGAACAGAAAGAGTGAGTGAAGCATTTATATTCTGTTTTCTTGAGAATCAGAGGTTTGTATAACAGTTTTGACGTATATGTCCTTTCCAACATCATACAGAGGTAGCATCAGTTTACTATTATATCAGGTAGCTATGACCACCTGCCACATTCTGATAATGCTACATATTTTACTATTTAATGTCGACAATAGGATTGTTGTGTTATTTGGAGCAGGTGGTTAAGAGACTTAGAACTAACTACTCAGATTGAAAGAGTATTGACATTGGAGTTCAAATGCATTCTGCTCGATGCTTAAATATCTTGCCAGTAGTACACAGGTGAGATAGTGTTGTAGAAATGCCAGCTTGATCTCACTGCTCTGTTCTGTGACTTTAGGATTTGCTCACACCATATGAGTCCTAATCCAGTATTTTCCTCCAGTTATCATTGAGGGTGTTGTGATGTAATTGAATGGGGACGTGGCTGACTCGAATCACCTAGTGTCCTACCATTGTTTTCCTTCCTTCAGCCATTGAATTACATTGGTAATCAGTTCAGAGTTTGTTTTCTAACAGAACCCAAGTATATTGAGATGAATTGACGTGGAAGTAAAATGATTAAGATTTCTGTTCTGATAAGCAAAGTAGATGAAAGATTTTTAATGATGCCAAAATATTTGTTCAATTTTGAATAGTGATAGCATTTTTTAAAAAAAAACCCAAATAATCAGAAAAAATTTTATGCTTGGCTCATTCATTTGTAATCTTAGTTCAGTTTAATTGGAAATAGTGTCCCCTTGGGCTTCTCTCTTTATTCCTGAATCATTGTTCTTCCTTGTAATGTCATTGTTAAATACTGTGGTTAAGAGATTCCTTACTAGACAGCCAGAGTGAAGGCACCGAGGTTTTCTTTGCCCTCTTTCACCTTTGAAGATGATGGATGAAGGTTGTGGTTGGCCATGTTAGGACAGGTGGCTGCCTTGGATGAGGCTCTGTGGATGATGGCGCGATCGATGGCACTGTAATTTCATGTTCATCCTTAAGGGCAGAATGCTCCCTGTGACCAGAAAGTGAGGATAAGGATAGGCCCCTCATTTATGACCACACATTTCCTGCTGGTGTTTCACATTTTGGAGTTTTGTTTTTCTTAGTGATTATTAGCATTAACTCACAGACTCCAGTGGGTAGTGTGAAGGGAATGGAGAAAGTTTCCTTCTCTTCCCTTACATGATGAGACTGCATTATTCTTCTACAGTGCAATGGAAGTAATGACCAGATAAAACTATAGTGATACTATGTGTGTTTATATTTGTTATAAAGAAAGAGCTATATAATTAAATGATAAAATCTTCAAAGTAATACATTCACTCTTTGGTTAATCAATGTGTTTATGTTATTATCTTAATCAAGAGACATCTGTTGAGCACTTGGTCTGTTCTATGTGGGTAAAGCCTAAAGTCATTTGTTATTACTGAGGAAAAAAGATACTGGGTAGACAATACAGATTGTTACCATCCAAAATGTAGACAAATCAAGAAAAGGCAAAGTAATGCCTGTTCCTCTTTGCAGGCTGACCAGTTGATGTTTGCTCTGCATTTTGTTCGAGGCATGCATCCTGAACTTTTTCAAGAAAATGTAAGTAAATTGAAGGAAGAAAATGCTGGAGCTACTTGGGAAAAGCAGATGGGTTTCTACTTACATTAGAAATTACTGTAGGCTATAATTTGTGTAAAAATGTGTTCATCTTTACCAAATCAGCAGTCGGTCCTGAGATACTGTTTTCAGTGCTCTTTCCCTGTTGGTGTACTCAGTATTCCAGAATGGTGGAAGGAAAGGAATCTATGTAATTCTCCATGAATTCAGGTTTCGGCGAACAAGGCCCATTTACTGAGCATACCAGAAGAGTCGGCTTCCTGAATGCCTGTCCTGTGCAGTGGAACTGAAAAGGGAAAAGTGAGACAGTATGGGCCTGCAACCACATCAAATTGCATCTGTTTACGTGTCAGAGTAGGCAAGAAAGCAAGAGGGAGACAGCTAGGAGGAGCTTCTTGGAACCCATAGGATTGTGCTGTCTTCTTTGTCCAACATGTTTTATCTGGCCTGTCATATAATACATTTGATACTCACTTGAACCTTACGTGAACGACACCTAACTCATCCATCTCTGGTGTGCTTATTTAAGAAAAAAAATTGAAAGTAGTACTTTTAAAAATATTTATTTATTTATTTATTTATTTATTTATTTATTTATTTAGACAGGGTCTCCTTGTAGCCCCAGCTGGCCCAGGCTGGCCTCGAACTCACAAAGATCCGCCTGCCTCTGCCTCCCAAGTGCTGGGATTAAAGGCGTGCGCAACCATGCCGGGCTGAAAGTAGTACTTTTTAAATGAATATTTTTGTTGAGTTTTTGTGCATTTCATACAAAAAGTATTAATCATATTTAGACTCCCTCCCCCATCTGCAGCCCCCAATATCCTGCCCCCCCTTTATCTCATACATTCTGTCATATATGTTAAGTTCTATCTGGTCAAACTTTTATACTGAGATGTACCTTGATGCAAGTTCATCCACTGGAATCTTGTCAGCCTACCTAGAGTCTCTCCCTTAAGAGCAACTCTCCCTCACCCAGCAGCAATCAGTTGCCAGTAGTTTCTCAGCTAAGGTTGGGGCCTGCTGCCCATTCCCCCAGTTCCATGCTGGGTTGAGTCAGCATGAATATTGCGCATGCTGACACCATTGATGTAAATTCATATAAGCAAGGTCCCAGAGGCCTGAAAGTCTGTTTCCTTACGTTCATGCACCCAGCCTTGCTTTTATAATCTTTCTGCCCCCTCTTCCCCAATGGTCCCTGAGCCATGGATGGATGAGGTTTCACATAGGAGTCCTATCCAGGGACACGCACTCTGCGGTCTCTTATTTGCTACACCTTGGCCAGTTGTGACCTTCTGTGTGTGTTGCACTCTGTTGCATGAGAAAACCTCATTGGTGAGAGTTGAGGAATGTATTAGTATTCTGTCTCCTCCCTATGTGTTCCATGCACCTCAAGTGTCAAGATTCCACTATAGATGTGTCACTTAAAACTGGACATCTCTCAGTTACATAGTCTTTGTGTGTGACCAGTATTTTTTATGTAAGTATGATAAAGTAAGAATTCAGCAGCAATGGTGTGAAGCTGGTACAATTTTGACTTGGTGTCTAGCCCTGCTTGGTTGGATTTTAATTATCTTCTGGAGTCATGTCATTCAAATAGAAACACAGACCACACAGGTCTGCTTGTGCTCTTCCCTTTTCTGTAATCCACTTACTCTGGCTCATTAATGTAGATTCTCCCGAGATTAGTAACTTGGCTCTTTGTATTAATTTTGATGTCTTTCCTTTTCATATTTTTTAAACCATGGTTAGTATGGTTTCAGATCTCATATTCTTTGTTTTACTTTCCTGGGGTATAAATGGATTACCTTTGGGAAATGGGACCATTTTTCTCATACAAAGTTAGCAATACCCATAAGTTATTGGAAGTACCTTTCTTAATTTTACCAAGCACGGACACTAAACTTGGGGAACTTTACTGCTCGTGTATTAGTGAGGAATCCCACTGAAAGAACATTTGAATGTTTAGATATTGGATCCGGCATGCATCCTGTACTGAATCATACCATACTGTACTGTATGGAAGAAGCAGGGAGATGTGATGGGAAAGGAGGATTTTCCTTATGTTCTTAGGAAGTTGCGTTGTGAGCTATCTTAGAGGAAAAGTGAGTTAATTCTGTATCCAAGTTCCACATTGTGCCCCTCATGTTTCTATCCAATAGGAATGGGACACATTCACAGGTGTGGTTGTTGGAGACATGTTGCGGAAAGCTGTAAGTTGAAATGTTACTTCACTTCTGGGGATTAAAAACTCTGGTCTTTGGCTTTATGAAATACAGCTTGTTTCATAGGAATTTAAAACTACTATTGAAATTATACTTTCGTTAGAGGAATATGTCCTGACCTGTGCTGCCTTTCTATAAAATGGACTTAATATATTTCTACACTTTGGAAAACATGCATTCTTTAGTGAATAGCATGAACTACTTAGAAATTAATGTTGCTCATTTTCTTGGAGTGTTTGTTTTGTTCCAAGGAAAGTGTTATATTCTTTAAGAAAATCAAACCTAGTACTCTAGGAAAATTTTCTTACATATGTCTTAAGTTTTAAAAATTACTTTTCAAACCTTTAAAAGACTATATTGAAACGTGTAACTTTTCTATAATAATTTTCTACTTGACTAAATAACGGACAATATTCTTTAAACCACTATGCTGAAAATGTAGCACAATTTAGATTGTGTCTGAAATATAAGATATAACTAAAAATAATGTAATCTTATGAGTTTCTAAAGATATTTAATTTTTTTTTCTTGTTTCATGGAAGCTTAAACACAGTGAAGATAAATGCATTTGTCTGAATGGGCCTCTCTACCCATATTACATAGAGTTTTGCCATGGTGACTAGTTAACTACAAAGAAGTAACATATACAATGTTTGGTTTTTTAATTTGTGCTTTTAAAATAGCTTTTCCACAGCTATTTTTTAATATTTTGAATTTTACCAAATATGCAAAAGAAAATAATTGCTTTTATTGAAGGACTCTCAACAAAGAATACGTGATCAGCTTCCATCTTGGATAGATCAGGAAAGAAGCTGGGCTATGGCAACGCTGAAGGTATTTCTTTTTAAAATTATTTTTTTAATGTCTCTGTACATGTACTGCATGTCTGTGCACATGTGTGTGGGTTCATGTGGGGACCAGAGCTCAACATCAAGTTACTCAATCCATTGCTTTCCGCCTTATTTTTTATGTTTTATTTATGTTTAGAAAATATTTATTATTTTTGTGTTTACAGCCTAGTACATGAGTTCCCTCCCATTGAGTGACCCTTAATTCCAATTAGAATTGTTGTTTACCTCCAATAAAAAAAAAAATGCCACTGTACACCAATAGCAAGTTTTCTGGGCCAGTCATGGTTGTTTATTAGGCTTCACAGCTAAGTGTAACCATTGACTGGTTTCCTCCCTTGGCAGCTAGTAGCAAGTATGAGCGCTAGTCTTCAGGGAGACTTCCAGGTCGGTTCCAGCTCCACTGCTGCAAGTCCTGTATCCAAGGGTGTCCTGTCTTCAGTAATAGGGTCTTACCTTCCACGTTCTGGGGAGACAGTCAAGGGTGATGTCAATAGCTTATGTTATTTTGGGAGTCTCATGGTCTACCCTTACTAACAACTCAAAGGGACGTTTCTCCTGCCTGGCGCTGTGGTTTTGTTATATACTCTTCAAGTATACACATGCACTCATATATGTATATGAGTATGTATATTTATGGTTTTGATTTGCATTTCCCTAACTTCTAAGGCTGTTGAGCACTTTCAAAACTTAGCCATCTTTATTTCTTCTTTTGAGAACACTCTTGAGATCCATGGCCCATCTTTTAGTTGGGTCATTTGTTTTCTTGCTTCTTTGTTTGAGTCCTTTGTGTATTCTGGATGTTCATCCTCTGTTCTATGAATGGCTGATGAAGGTTTTCTCCTACTCCACAGGCTTCCTCTTCACTTGATTGATTGTTTTCTCTGATGTACAGAAGCCTTTTAGTTTAATGACATCCCTTTTGTCAATTGGACCTTAATTCCTGAGTGACTGATGTCCAATTAGGAATTCCTTTAGTGCATTTGTATCTTATAAGGTAGTGCCTAAGTTTTCTTCTGACAGTTTCAGAGTTTCAGGCTTCACATTGAGGTCTTTGATCCATTTTGAGTAGACTTTTGTTCAGGATGGTAGATAAGAGTCTAATTTCATTTTTCCACATCTGGAGATGCAGTTTTGCCAGCACCGTTTGCTAAAGATGTCTTTCCCCCAGTGTGTATTCTTCGCACCTTTTAAAAATATCAGGTGGTTGTAATTGTGTGCACTCATGTTTGGGCCTTCACTTTTGTTCCATTGATCTACAAGTCTGTTTTTGTGCCAATACCATGTTGTTTTCATGAGTATGGCTCTGTGATATAGACTGAGATCTGGTATGTTGACCCCTTCCCACTGTTCTTTGTACTCAGGATTGCTTTGGCTATCCAGGGTCTTTTGTATTTCCATATGAATTTTAGGGTGGACTTTTCTATTTCTCTGAAGAATTTCACAGGGATATTGATTGGGATTTCACTGAAACTGTAAATTGCTTTTGGTAGGATGGTCATTTTCACTTACATTGATTTACCAATTATTGGGCATGGGAGATCTTTCCATCTTCTTGTGTCTTCCTCAATCTCTTTCTTCAAAGATTTAAAGTTTTCATTGAATAGGTCTTTAATGTCTTTGGTTAGATTTATTGCTAGATTTTTTTTGTTGCTATTTTGAATGGGAATGTTTCTGTGAGCTCTTTATCTGATTGCTTTTTATTGGTATATAGAAAGGCTACTGGTTTTTGTAGATTGCTTTTGTAACCTGCCACTGTGGTGAAAGTATCGATCATTTCTAGAAGATTTTTGGTGGAATTTTTGGGATCTCTTATATGTAATACCATATCATTTGCAAATCGGATAATTTGACTTCTTTTTTCCAGTCAGTACCCCTTTAGTTTCCTTCTCTTATTGCTCTAAAGTCTCAAGCACTATATTGAAAATGAGTGTGAATAGCAGCCAGCCATGTCTGGTTCCTGATTTTGATGGGAATGTTAATGTTTATATCCATTTAGGATCATGTTGATTGTGGGTTTGTTGTATAGAGCTTTAATTATCTTATGGTATGGTCTTCTATCCAATCGAGTTCCCTCTAGGACTTTTCTTGTTTCTATTGATATGATCATGTATTTTTTTTGCCTTTAAGTCCATTTATATGATTTATTACATTTATTGACTTACATATATTAACCATCTCTGCATCTCTGGAACACTTGATCATGTATAATTTTTTGATGTTTGCCTCTATTCAATTTGTGAGTATTTTGTTCAGAATTTTTACATCTATGTTCATTAAAGGTAAATGCCTATAGTGTCCTATTTTTATTGTGTCTTTGCATGGTTTTGGTATTAGAGTAATCCTGGCATCATAGAAGGAGTTTGGGAGTTCTTCCTCCGTTTCTATTTTTTTGAATAATTTAAGTAGTACTGATTGTAGATCTTTAAATGTCTGGTAAAATTCTGCTGTGAATCCATCTGGTTCTGGGCTCTTTTTAGTCAGGAAGCTTTGTATTACTGTTTGGATTTCCTTACTTGTTATGGGTTTGTTTAAACTATTGATCTCTTCTTGGTGGTTTCCATGAATTTAGAAATTGATTTCTTTTAGGTTTTCCAATTTAATAGAGTGTAAGATTTTTAAATATTCCCTTACGATGTCCTGGATCTTTTTGGTGTGTGTTAATGATGTTTCCCCTTTCGTCTCTTTTCTTTGTTGATTTGAATTTTCTTTTTCTTTTTCTTTTTCTTTTTTTCTTTTTCTTTTTGGTTAACTGGACTAAGAGTTTTTCTTTCTTTTTTTATTTTTATCTTTTCAAAGAACCAGCTCTTAGACTCATTCTATTTTATTTGTTTTTATTTCATTAATTTCTGTTCTGATTTTTGTTATTTCTTCTCCTCTACTGGGTTTAGGGTTGGTTTGTTCCTACCTTTTCAGAATCTTGAGTTGTACTGTTTAGTCATTTATTTGGGCTCTTTCTGATTTTTTAATGTAGGCACTATTTTTATGAAATTGGGTACACTAGAGTTTGGTACATATAGTTCATGATTGTAATATCTTCTTGGTCAGTTGTTCCCTTGATCAGAATGGCGTGACCTTCTTTATGTCTGCTGATTAACTTTATTTGAAGTCTATTTTGTCAGATATAGAATTGCCATGCTGCTTATTTCTTAGGGCCATTTGCTTGGAATATTTTTTCTATCCTTTCACTTTAAGGAAGTGTCTATCCATGAAGGTGAGATGAGTTTCTTGAAGACAGAAAAAGATGGGGTTTGTTTTTTAATCCTTTCATCTAGCGTGTGTCTTTTGACTGGGCAGTTAAAGCTATTAATATTTAAAGTTATTGTCGAAAGGTTTGTATTGGTTCTTTTGATTTTTATATTGCAGGGACTGGATGAATCCAGGCAGGGTAGTCAGGAGCTCTCCAGGAGGGTGAAGGAGCCCTGGTTAGTCAGGTGCTCTCTGTCAGCCTCAGCAGGACTGGGCCAAGGCAGAGCAAATGGGAACAGAATGGGTCATCCCCTAATATCCAGCAGGGAGGACCTGAGCCCTGGAGGTGGGAGGGACTAGAGATGCTCCCAAACTAGGGGTGTGGGAATGGTGAGAGTTGGGCAACTCACCCCAGCGAGTCAGACACTCTCAAGTGGCCTTGGCGGGACAGGGCCAAGACCCAAGGAGAGCCGGTGGGAACAAAATGGCTCAACCTCTACTGGCCAGCAGGGAATCCCACCTTACTTTTTTTTAATTTTTAAAAATTATTTATTATTATTATTTTTTATTTAATAACCACATGATTGGAAGAGTCATGCATTTCATTGCAGCTTTCATATATTCAGTAACAATTTCCAGAGCAAGGATACATCTTTCAAAGTGGCTGTAAAGTTTTAGGTTCACAGTTAATACAGCTATGCAATATTGAACTCAGTATAAACCCTGTAAGACATAAAATTGAATGACTTTTTAACCTTTAAAGAAGATCTCCATTTCATTTTAAAATGTGCTGTTTCCTAAATTTTTAATGCTACTAACACTTAGATGTTTGCACATGTGTCTTTAATCTCTATGTATCTGATTATTACTAGTCACCATCGGTTACACTCGGCACCTTGGCACCTGAGTATAGATATAAAAACATCACGTAGATTTCAATGGTAATATTTATCACCTCTACTAATTAATATGAAGTAAATTTTTATGCTTCCTCCTCAAATATGTCTTTTTTTAAAATTTGTTGATTTTTTTTGTGTGTGTATCATACAGAACATCCCAAACAATCTTATTTATCTATTACCCACATCCCAAATGGCACCTTACCATAGCACCCCCCCACACACTAGAGCCCATATACTCTGTCATCCCTGTTACTGTTCACTGTGTTGTTGGGCCCCCCAGACATTCCCCAGTTCTTGTCCATCTACTGAATCTAGTCAACCTATCAGAGTTCCTTGTTTTAGGAAGATCAGCTTTTCCTCATCTAGCAGCAATCAGTTGCCAATATTCCTTTAGATGAGTTTGGGGTCTTCTGTTCATTTTCCCAGTTCTATGTTGGGTTACTGTCTGGGAGTCTCTTGGCCGACCCTGGCCAGTAACTCAAAGGAAGGTATCACCTCTCTGGCATTGTTTCTTGTTACATGGCATTTAGCTATACACATGGACTCTTAAATAATTATATTGACCCCATTAATCTTTGGTTATACTTTCCTTTTGGGTGTTGAAGACCTACAATTGGCCCAGATAAACCAATTTGTTTTTACACTTAAGGTTTTTTAAGGATCTCTTCCTCAGGGGTAACATGGGCTTGGGAGGAGCCCCTGGCTCCATTCTTTAACCAGTTCCATCTATGTGAAGATAAGTCAAAGGTCCTGCTCAATCATGGCTGGCTTTGTTTGGAAGCATGGAGGAAATGTTTCTCTGTGTTGACCCTTCTCTTTGTAGACTGGACACTGGTTCAAGTCCATCTGGTGGGGTCTCCATGGCCTCCTTGATCAAGGTGACATTTGACTCACC